ATGTCATAGACAACAATGGTCATTACATTGTAGACTGAAATTGCATTTCAATAAAGTTATAACATTTTGAAAAATTTGCACAGAGTGTTGCAAGACTTTCTTTCCAACCCAATAACATTGAGTTAAAATGGTATCAGCCTTGTGACATGTTCACACTGGCATGCTTTAAGTTGAAAATGAAAGTTCTGAATCATTTGTCACAGAAGCAGGGCTGCTTTTTAAAAAATTTTTCTTCATATTCCAAGGATTGAAGAAATTTGTTATAGTCCACTGCATTTTCATTGATTGGATTACTTGCATAGGTTTTAAATCTCTGCTTGCCAATCAAAAGCATCTATAAACAATTGAAGCCTGTGGAACTGTCTGTACTTGCATAAATTTTACCTGTGCATCAAGAGAATCATCTACATTGCCCTGGAATAATAGTTATAGTGTTAACAGTTTCCTGGGTCATGATTATGCAGAGCTGGGATATGAAAAGGTTAAGAGAGGGGAACTGAGGATGCAAGATATTTGCTTGGCATGTGAAAGCATATCAGAGTGCATCCCAGATTCCCATCCCTTCTTCCATGCTGGACTGTGCATGGATTGCAGAGATGACCTGAGAGAGACCATCTTTTCCTTTGATAACTCTGGCATCCATGTGAGTAGTACCCTTTCATTCTTCCACTATTTGTCTTTTAGAGTATAATTGCAGGGAATATCTGGAACCTCAAGTGAATGGACAGTATAGATAGAGAGGCTCATCAGTTAACTGGTCTAGCCTTTATCATGTGATTTAATGCTTCCAATAACTTTTTCCATTCTGATCTACATTGAAACTTAGAATGTTTAAATTATTCAGAGTATGATGAATGGGATAATTTCTTTTAACCTCATTTCTTTTCATCACAAGATGGAAAATTGAGTATAATTCAGAACTTTTTCTTACTTATTTCCAGAGGTTTTGCTTGATATGCTGCCAGGGAGGGACTATCATCATATGTGATGCACCTGAATGTGGCCGGTCAGAGCCCATTCCACTTCGATATCCAATTACCATTAAAAACTTTCTGCTCCTTTCACTTGTTTTACCTCATAGTCTCTCTCTCATGTGCAGGGTGTTTTGCACAGATTGCTTAGAAAAGTATGCTGGGAAGCAGAAGTTGGCTGAATTTCTGAAGGCAAAATCTTGGGACTGTCTTCTTTGTTGTACTTCCCTGGAAATTGGGGTCCTACGGCGTCGGGAGAGCTGGCCATCAAGAGTGGGAATTTCTCTATTTCTTAGCAGTTTCTTATCCTTATGCCTGTATTCCTGCCAAGCTGACTCCATTAATCCTTGTGTGGATTCTCCCTCTAGGAAGAGGCATTCCTGACTGAAAAACCACAAAGCTGTGTCATGCATCTCCCTGTTCCTCCAGTTCCAGTTGGAAATAGGCATGCTCTTCGAGTCCTCTCCCTCTTTGATGGAATTGCTACTGGTGAACAGTTCTTCTTGTCTTGATTTCCTCTTACATTTATTTCAGAGATGAATATGAATCAAGGAGTTTTTTTTAGGTTTATTTGTTCTCAACAAGCTGGGCCTTGATGTGGAGGTGTACTATGCATCTGAAGTGGATGAAGGAGCCATGGCAGCGGCTCACATGAACTTTGGGGATTCCATTGTGGATGTTGGAGATGTGAAAGATCTAATTGGCCCTAAGCTGGAAGACTTGGGTCGTATTGACCTCCTAATTGGCGGTTCCCCATGCACAGAGCTCTCCCTGGTAAACCCAGCACGAAAGGGACTCTATGGTATGGAGAGACACTCAAATACATACCTTCCTTCTTCATCTCCACATGTTCTCCCTCATGCTTTATTTTCATTGGTGCAGATCCAACTGGAACAGGGATCCTGTTCTTTGATTTCTATCGGATCCTCCAGGAACTGCTGAAGAGACGGAATTCAGAGGGGCACGTGGAGGAGCAGTTTCTTTTTTGGCTATTTGAAAATGTTGCTTGCATGCCCAAAGAGACTATAGCCACTATATCCCGCTTCCTTGGTGTAAGTATTCACCTTCACAACTGTCTCTTTCACTTTCAACATCTTTCTTTCAGAGTTTCCACAGCCCTGTTGATGCAATGTATGCATGAAGTATACATTGAATTTTTATTGAATACACTTTGAAATGGGACTGACCCCCCCACATGGAATTAGTGTAAGTTGAAATTCATTGAATCCATTTACTAAATGTAGCAAAGTTGATATATCATTCCATATTCAACAAAGTAGGCATGGTATTCTCATATTTGCACATCCTCATTCACTAGCCATGAAATGCTAGTTATGGGCTTATGTCCTAGTGAGACGATCGTAACATTATCCAAATATAGTCCTTGATGAAGGTTGCCAGAGTTTCTGTAAGCCAAGATAAGTAAATGGTCAGGATGATACAGAGGGTCTTGGCTGCTCCTCATATACAGGGTGACAAATGAAGAGCCCACCAGAAGAACGATCAGGCAAATTTTGAGATATTGCAGCCACCAATATATTTGTTGTACAAGCTTTCATCTCTGATATTCCTAAAATTGCAAACTCATCAATGATACTCAGGGTTCACACTAGCTTTTTTAAATCTTGAGTTTTTAAAAGATTCCTAAAAATAAAATTCCAGGCACTAAGTTAATTTTTATTCAAGTGAAAAGAACAATGACCCTTCAGTTATTATTCAATTAGTCTGACCTCCTTGTCTCTCTTTCACATCATGTAAAGTTAAGCAAGAATTTTGTAGAAGCCTCTCTGCCTCTTTCAGAGGAGGACCTTCCAGGCTGAGGTGCTTCAGCTGAAATAGCTTTTCAAAAGCTATATCAGCTGATGCTGAGGAGCATCAGCATCAACATCTGACCAAGCTGACTTCTCATACAAGACTTGATCTGCTTCATGCACGGGAAGCCATGTTCAGCTGCAGCAGTTAACACAGGGATACCCATAATCCTGACTGGCATGGCAAAGTCTGGGAACACCTGCATAGTCTTTTATTATCATACTGTAGAAATCATGAAACTCCCATGACATGTGTTGGGTTGCAAGGTTTTTGAAGTCCAGAAATGAAGACTTCAGACTGTCTTCATTCATGAGAATTCCTTTAGTATCAGGAGAGTTACAGTAAAGGCAATCATGTCCTTCAAACTTTCCTGTCCATACTCTTTGACAGAAGAAGAACATGTAATAGCAGGATACTTCTTGAGAGAGAATATTTCATTAAGTGCACAAAGAACTTTCATTAAACCCTCTAGAAACCTGCTCTTCAAGTTTGCAGTAACTTTCTGCTCAAGATGTTTTCTGGCTTAGGTCAGTTTACTCTTTTTCCCCATCAAACTGCACCTTTTCAAACTTCACGCCCTAATAGAATATCATGGGAAGAAGCATATCCTGCAAGGAAGCAATCACTGAATTCATCAGAGGCTAAATTACAGAAATATTCACATTTTGCCCTTGAAAAAGCAATTGAAAGCCTCTTCAAGTGAGGGAGGACATCAAGGCAGACACATATTGCAGCTGAGAAAGAAAGATGCTTACAATCTCCTTTAGTAAACCCTTGGCTTTTCTGGAATTCATACTGTCTTCACTCTCAAAAATATGCTCCAAGGTCTCAACTGTTTCTCTGAAAAATCTGGCAGCAGCTTCAACGGCATTAGTACAAACTTAGCCATCTCACATGTTGGTTCCTGAAGCTTAACTCTTTCTGAGCCATTTACCTCCTGAACATCTCCTAGGACTTCATATCTTATGGGGGAATCAGAGAAAAATTTGTGTAATGTCCAAGTGAAACTTCAACATTTGCAATTTGGAAGTTTATAAAAACCCTCAGTGAAAATATGTTTCACATTCACCTTGTGACATGTTGCAAAACATCTTCCCATGTTCATGACACATCAATTTGGACTCTTTTTCCCACTTTGGAAGGTAGTGGCTGTTTTTTTCCTTGGCCCCACTTGCCATCATTCAAATTTGGCTAAGACAGTGCAGAGTTCCATTCTTTGCAGGGTTAGCACACCACCACATGCAGACCCCACTTAATAGTGATTTGCAATTTTGACCTTTGGAGTTGTGCCTAGCTTCTGCTCAGTGGGAATGTGTGAAATGCACTTGTGCAATGCCCATGAATGTTTAATCTGTCAGTGCTGGCTCTTGGGCAGTATTGTGTCAGAAATATGCTGGAAAAAAATAAGAATGACAAAAACGAGGAAATATCATTACGTACGACTTACGTACTTCTGCAAACATCTGACATGGCCTTCCTTATAGGTGGAATACCACCCCCAGCGAAGGGAATTCCTACATTCAGGATATTAGGTCAACTGTAACAATAAGGTGAGTGTGTAGAACTTAACTGGGTGAACTAAGATTTATCGTCCCCACGAAGGACCAGATGTAGTCGTCTTTGTTTGGCCAACTAAAGAAATTGCCATATCTGGCAGGTTGAAAACCATAAGGTGTTTGAAAGACCTCCACGAGGTCAACTAAGGCTTACATATTCATGCAAGGAGAACCAGTAACAAAAAATGGTAAAAAATGACCAGGATCTGTGAAATGAATTGGAGACTACTTAAGATGAAAACAACATAATGGGAAATTTTCAGCGTAAAAGAAAATCTAGATTTTTAGAAATTCAGTTGATCAGCTGCTAACCAGACAGTGACAGTGAGAAAATAGCATTGTGTTTTGATGGATTAGCCAGGACTCCACCTTAAGTTCACGAGTATTCTTTTATATAAATGCCACAGTGGTGATGTGGCAGTTAAGACAAACTACAAAGGTGTGGAAATTATTATCTTGTACTGTCGTGACATAAACTACTACCTCCAGAGCTTTCTGTCAATTGTATCTTAGTTTTGGCATGAAACTTCCATGGGCTTCATCCAAAAAAAAAATTGGATGGACATCAATGAGTCCCACGGACTAGCATATTCTGCAAATTTGAGTCCCTTCAAGAAAATACAAGTCAGGGACTCGTTATTGGAAGTTAATGTGAACCCTGAAACTATAATAGATATCATTTTTGTATCTTGAATCAAATAGGAGCCATATGGTTTTGAAGCTTCATTGTTGTTTTTCTCAACATTCATATTGTTTTTCTTAAAACAACCTAATGTGACTGATTGTTCTTCCCATGGACTCTCCAAATAAGTTTGGTCCCTATTTTTGAAACTGATGTGTTCTCAAGTGAGCACTACTTACTCTAACCCATGTATATTAATTGATTAAGGGTCTTGGCCACTTCCTGACCAGATTTTTCTTAAGCACTCATGGCACTAACTTTGGTGCAAGGAAGAAGTGCAGTTGTGGCTATCCATAAGCTACACTACTCCAAGCTAATGTCTTTGGGATGCTGGGAATGTAATAATTCTTGCAGAAGTATCTTAGTTGGACTGTTGAGCATTTTGTCAAAACCAAGAGTGCAGATGACTAACCAAAAAGTGGCTGTGAGACTGTTCAGATGCCACTGCTGATGAAGAAGGTGAAGAGTTGGGTGAGGCAGAATTGAAAGCAGTCATTGATGAAGCTGGCAGCTGAGATGAAGGTCAATCAGGAATCAAAGTAATTGCTGGTCACAAGGGACCTTTGCATGCATATCTACAAAGAGTCCAGTGCTCACAGACTGACATCAGCTTCCCAATGCAAGTGACTCAACCAAAGCAAAAGGCTGTTTGAAGGGTTCATTGATAATGATGTGGAGTACATCCTCTTCTTGGATGAGAAGATCTTTATGACAAAGCAGATCTTCAACGCCCAGAACAATCACTTGCTAGCTACCTGCTAAGTGGAGATACCATCTGAGCAGAGACTCTTTTCTAGGTGGCACAAGCCTGCTGGAGTGATGGTTTGGGCTGGGATTTCAGCAAATGGCTGCACAGACCTGATTTTTGTGCCAGATGAAGCCAAAATGGATCAACGTCCATGTGTAAGCTGATTTTGGAATCCATGATGAATCACTGTGGTTGAAACATTTTCAAAAACCAGTGTTGGAGCTTTCAGCAAGATTCTACCCCAGCTCACTCCTAAAGCAGTGGTTCTCAAATTCCCTTTTACTCCCATAGAAGATCCATGTGATTGAGAACAGATTGAGAGCCACTACTCTAAAGTGACTCAGCAATGATTGGACCTCAGCAAACCAGACTTCATCATATGGATTGATTGGCCCCCATCATCTCCAGACCTCAATCTCTAGGACAACCATGTGTGGTCACTCTTGGAGACCAAGGTTTGCCCTCACCCACACACCTGTGTTGGGTTGCTGAAGTGGCCCCTTATCCAAGCAAGGAAGGAGACTATGCATGCAATGCCTTGTGTAATGGTAACTTAGGGTTGGCATGGAGAGGTGCGATTGAATGTCCTGGGTTCAGTGGTGTAGTGGTAGCACACCTGACCAGCAATCAAGAGGCCCAGGTTCAATTCCCAGCCATTCTGTGGTATTCCTTTGTCCTGTCATGCCATCCAACTCCTTCTACAGCCCACTGACCATTACACTTGTATGGTGCCGTCATCATAAGGATATTGTGAAAGTCTGTGGTGGACATTTTGAATAGCTCTCTGATTAAAATTTACCTAACATGTTTAGCATTTATCAAATACATTATCTTTTTTGGACCTTTGTTATTGGTACAGTGTAAAAAAAAAAAAAAAACAGAAAGGACAGAACGTATTTGTTAGTCTGTAGGTCCTAATTAGCCAGCTAGTGCAACCCTACAGATACACTACCACACGTTGGCACATCAGACATGTCGTCAGCATAGTGAAGAAAGAGATTATGGCACTTGAAAGGGATCTTGTCTTTCCAAGTTTGCGATCAACATGAGTTGAAAGGAACAGGCTACTCATAGTTGCTGCTTTTTTATAAAGAAAGTTCATCATCAAAATGGAAAGTGTTCAATATCAGAATAAGTTCAGTAAGATGAATGAGATAATCAGGGGGTTCTTTGGGGCATTGTTCTTGAGTTTATTGACAAAGTTAAAGATTGCAAATTGTCAGGAGCCTGGAAGATGGCCAGTAATGATTTCCTGAAAGGGAAGTCTAAAGAACCATCATGGAATCAGAGATCAGAATGGGTGTTGATGTCATAGAAAGAAATCCCCTTCCCCCTCATGGTTCAGTGTGATTCAATTCTCAGATTTTAATGGGTGAACTCAGCCATGTCTCAATCCTCCAAAGTACAATAAAGTTGCTCTTTTTTAAATTATCCATGAGGGACTATTCGGGTCTTCAATGAGTTTGGACTAAGATTATGCCGACTACTGTAACATGCTTGGGAACTTTTTTTTTTTTCTTCTTGAGACTTCTTGGATTCCTCTTAAACTTTATTTTTTGGTTTCAGGGGGAGCCAGCAATGCTGGATGCAAGGAGCTTTTCACCAATGCGTCGACCACGTCTCTTCTGGGGAAACATTCCTGGTCTTCACTCTGGTGCTGATGACATTGCAGCTGAGCAACATTCCCTCCAAGAAGTATGTCTCTCCAATGATAGGAAATTCTTTTTTGGCTCCAAGATGCCAGCCACATGTTGCATTTCTCCTCAGCTCAGCTTCAGTGGCTTCATTCCATAGGATAGTAAAAAAGAAAAAAAGCAAGAAGCAAAACATCTCTCATACACCTTCAGGCTGTTTTTTTTTTTTGAAAGTGCTTCAATGGCAATGTTATTTTTTGCCATTTAGCAGAAAATATTGTAGAATTTATCATAAAGCTGCATTCAGATGCTATGATTTTGCTCATGTATGAGCTGTGAGTTTGTATAATCTGGATTTAAGAGCATATAAATACTGTGATTACACAAGCTCAGATCTCACATATAAGAAGTTGCATGTGAGCAGTATTGAAGTGCCTGATCCCAACTTCAGGGAGATGTCCTCAATTAAACTAGTTGGGCCTTCATCACAATTACTAGAATATTCTGGACTGAAGTACTCTTCCCTAATATCCACCCATGCTTATCATCTGACTAGTAATTACAGTGAAAACTCGTTAACTTGAACTTTTAGGGACCGGGCAAATCGTTTCGAGTTATCAGGAATTGCCCCCCCCCCCCCCAAAAAAAAAACTCACGTTAAGGGACATAGGGAACAGAATGGCTCGGAGTGAGAGCAATAGCTTGACAGCAAATGTTGGAGGCTTTTTTATAGCCGAAGCTTTTCAGATTTAATCCTCTCCACAGGTGTCTGTGTGGGAGGAGGGAGAAGCAGAAAAAAAAAAACGAAACAAAAGAGCATCCTCCCGAACGGGTTTCTTGTCATTCATTCTATTCAAAAACTGAAAAGTCCCACGAGAAGAATTTTTCCCCCCTTCTCACCCAGAATTCGAGTTAACCATGAGAAAATCACTATAGGGAGTGAAAATTTCATTCAAGATATCCGGAAATTCAAGTTAAGTGAATTCGAGTTAAACAAAGCTTTTAACATGGTGTCCTACAGGGTTCCGCCGGGACCAAGCATTGAACTTTGAGATAAGCGGAATTTAGACTTATCAGGATTCGAGTTAACGAGTTTTCACTGTACTTATTGCTCTTACTCTTATGAGGGTTGCTCCAAAAGTAATGCCCATTAATTTTTTCCTGGTTTACCTTTGGATGGAATAGCTCCAAACTTTTAAGGTGAGTTGCCTAGTGTTTCCTGAAGGTCTGACAATTTTTTGACATAGTTCCCATTGCAATCAAATCACTTTCACCAGCGGTTCATGAAGGCTTGTGTGCCATTGCGGTAAAATTCCTTGCCGACATTTTGAAGCCATTTTTTGACAGGCTCATTGACTTCATAATCAGCATTAGAGTATCTGAGGGTGTTGATTTACTAAAGGGTATTTTGACCAATGCTGATAGTCTCATATCTCACTGGTTGTGATGCACCAGAGCTCAGATTGGTGCACTTGCTGGGCATGTCAAAATGGCAGCTGCACTGACATTGTGTCAGAAGCAGTGGGCAGTGATTGAATTTCTGGATGTGGAGGGTGTGAGACAAGCAGATTTTCACAGACAACTTGAGCTGGTCTATGATGAGTCCTGTGAGGACGTGAGCACAGTCAGGCAATGGGTGAGTTGCTTTAAGTCTAGAGAATGAGGTCAAAGACAAGCAGTGCTTTGCCTGTCCTGTACTCTAGGCAACTCACCTTAAAAATTTGGAGCTATTCTGTCCAAGGGTACACCAGAAAAAAATTAATGGGCATTATTATTGGAACAGCCCTCATATATAAGCCTGGGCTCTGAGTTATGAAACATGAGGATTGTGAGGTTCCTTATGAGGCTTCAAAATGTTCTCATGAGGTCAGCTTCATGAGATCGGTCATCCTGTCTGTCAGCGGTTATGATGCCTCAAGGATCAAGAGGACATTAAATAATCTTTTTTGAGAATAATACTTTTTCACTGTGGCATCTCAAACTATACATAATTCTTGCCACAAGACTGCCTTTGTTGCAAGAAATAAAAAAGGAAATTCATCTGTGAGAGGTTTAGTCTTACCTCCCTGCTGCTATCTCTTTCTGTTTCCCTGTTACTGTGTGTTAAGTGTCAGATGAAAGACCTAGCTGACTGCTCTGTCTGTCATTGTCTATTTGAGAGTTGGCCAGTTGAGTTGATTAGTTATTACAGCTCTAGGAACTACTTCAGCTATAAAGCTGGTGTATATTTGCAATAGGAGCAAGGAGGATAAGTATGTTGACTATCTTATGCTTCACCAGCCAATTAGGATGGTTCTCACTTTGCCATGAAGCAGGTTGTATTTGTGCTGATTGAAAAACTCTCTCTTACTGTCACTCAACAGGAAAGGTCATTTAGCAACACCTTGTACTCATAAGATGCTAGTAAGAGTTGCACCTTAACAGTGACCTATTATAATTATATCTGTTCTCTTGCATAAAACTGTTTCTCCCATATTCCGCCAAAAATGAAAAAATCTGTTTATTTCTAGGCCTTATATATTCAAATGTTTATCAAATGAGAGAATATAGGTCTAGCTAGCTAGCTGTGCACTTGACTGCTATACTGCATACTGACTGCTACGGATTTTGAGAGCAGAAGCTGCTTCCTCACCTCAAGAGGAAGGCAATTGTGAAGAAGATCCGAACAGTGACCACAAATCGAAATTCCCTGACCCAAGGGAAAAGAGGAGGAGCAGCTGTGGACATGGATGGCTCCCCAGATACCCTCTGGACCACTGAATTGGAACCGTGAGAAATCCCTTTTGGATACCCTTTTGATGAATGACTGTTAGGAAATGATTTTCCTGTCCTATCCAGGGTCTTTGGGTTTCCCCGCCACTACACAGATACAGGGAATCTTTCAAATCAGCAGCGGCAAAAGCTGCTTGGTCGAGCATGGAGTGTTCCTGTTGTTGAACACATTTTTCGCCCTCTTACCAAGTATTTCAAATCAAAAGAGGGCTGATAGAGAATTTCCAACTGGGGTGTTGCAGGACTCCCAACATGTTCCCAGTAATCAACATCACATGGATGAAACAAACTTATTCTTAGCATTTCTATGATAACTTCCTGGGTAGGATCACCTCTGTTCTTTTTGGTTAGTGAAATGTTTAGGATTTTTTAGTTTTATGATTTCAATGCAGCTCTTGATGCACATTTTGTTGACGTTATTCTCTTCCTTTTCATATTTGTGAAACAATTTTGAATGCTTGAGTTTTATTATTTTGTATGCTTCTGCCTTCCTATGGTGCATGCCCAAATCATCATGATTTGACAATATTTTTTATTATTGAAAAAGAGTTTTCAATATTTGAGTTGTGTGATTATGATTTAACCATCATCCTGGTGATGTTTTGATTGCTAATGGCATTGTATTTCATTTTCTTGGTAGATTCTCTTGAATGAATGGTTTAGTTCTTGTGTGGTTGATTGATATCTTGCTTAGTGAGGGAAAAGGAAGGAATTTTTATTTTTTTGTTGAAATTTTGAAGAGATGGAGCTTTAGGAAATGATCTCATCTGTTTTTTTCGTTTTTTATTCCATTTTCGCTCTAAACTTTTTTTTTTGTCTTTCAATATCATGATGCTTCTTTCAATCCAGTGATGCCATTGTGATTGCTGAACCAAATAGACAAGATTTGACAAAAGACTCCCTGACTCCCCTTATTGGAATAATTTTGTTTCAACTGGTGTACAGGTTGGCTCAAAAATAAGCCGTTAGAAGTAAGTACCAATTAGATTCTCTTGAAACATTGACTACCAGAGTCATGTACTAACTATCCTCCCCCCCAGGAGAAGGTTTTGGTTTTGGTGATTTTTATATTCCCATTTCTCGCATTAGTATGATGTCTTGAAAGAATAGCAGCAACACTGAGCATGTGACTCATGAAACATCCAACCATAAGCACAGATGTGTTACACGTGCCAAGAAGGGAAACTAGCTGTCAGGTTCACCTGCTTGAGTGGTGTTGAATTATTGATGTATGGAAGTGTACATGATATCTTGTATATTTGTATACTAATTTATATCTGTTGGTTTTTCATATTTCAGGTGAGATCTAGCTACCAGAATGACAAAATGTCTGGCAGTCATTTGACATCACCATGAGTATACCCATTGGAAAACCTAAATCCCATTGATCCCATTTCTTTTGAGCCACCCTGTGTATGTGCTTGTACAGCTCCTGACAGATAATTATTATTGTGTTAAGCTTTTAGGCTTTATTCTTGGGTTGCTCAGACTGCAGGAGAAACCCAATTTTCTTCAATTTAGCTCAACTTTGAAACGAAAGTCAGTTAAGCTGGTTGAGCCCAGTCCAGTGGCATGTCATGTTTCAATGGTTGTTGGGAACAGAAGAATAGCACGACTCAATTACCTAGTGACCAAGAAATGGGAGAAGATAGTGCGTTGCCAGGGATTTCATGAATTTGGCTTGCGAACTCTAACCCTAGTGTGGTCTCTTCCTCCGTTCAAGTAAGCTATAAGGATGAGAAGGGAACTGACTGGCTGAGCATCGTGGTTAGCAGTAGCGTAGCGTAGCGGGGCTATAGGGGCACGTGCCCCCTACTTTTCAACATAAAAAAGGAATGGTGAAAAGGCGCATGGAATGCATGGAGTCAGTTTCCCAGAGGTCCCGTGACCCGTGGCACCCCCCTCCCCCCATCTTTCCCTTCTTTTTCCATCCACGTTACACTTAGTTGGCAAGAGCTATTGCTCGTACGCCAAGATATCTGGGAAAGTTATTTGTTGCTGATGCCTTTTCCACGATGATAAAATTTTACATTTTATATTTGCAGTAAATTATATATTTGTTTAATTTAGCCTGAAAGAACTTAGCCCGCGGGTCAGGGCAATTATTATTTTTTTTAGTCATGTGATGGTAAACGGGGTAGAACATAAGCAGGACTTATATGCTCTCCAGTAGCGCTCCATGTAGACGAAGACGCTTGGTAAGTCTTTCCATTGGTGCTTTTCACAAGTCGCATTTTTTCATTGACTCGGACGCTCATACATGGGATGTTCCACATGAGGAGTGTCCGAATCCAGTGAAAATTGTATTATTAAATTAAAAAACACTTGCTGCTGTCCTGATACGTACACACATGCGTCTCACGACTCTACTGCTTCTGCCTTAGCAGAGCAAAAAAACGCAAGGCGAGACTCTTAATGACTTTTTTTTTTGGTAAGGTCAACAAGGAGGAAAAAGACACGGACTTATTTTTGTGCGCTGGAAGTGTACCCTCCAGAAATGTTAATAAATATTTTGTTTGCTTTGTACTATGGTTGCCCGTTTCATGTGAACCCAACAGACACGCAGAAACCGGTATTGGTAAAATTGGCAGTCGGGTGGAAATAAAAATTGGAAGAAGCTAGGCTGAACGGTATCTGAAGCGCTAAGACAATCCAATAGGATTATAACTCCCACCCTGAGGGCTATATCTTGAAGTCCCTGATCCCATCGCTCTTCGCGTCTTCGAGACACGGCACCTGGCCCGTCTCGTCTTGCCTATTTTCACCCCTTACTGGTTGCGTTGGGTTGTCTGCTGTGCAACAAGTTACGATTATTTTCTTTCGGCTGCCACTGCTCTATTCAGTGAAGTTTTTTTTTCCCATTTTCTTTCTTGCTTCCTGTCTCATTTCTTCCGAGGTGCATCGCCTACAAGACGAATAAAGACAGAACAGACGTTAAGGAATTGGGAAGGACGACGATTTTGTCGTTCAGCCTGCTCTTCGGACCCCATTCCAACCCTACTTCTCCAGGCCTTCCTCTAATGACCATCTCTTTTTACTTCGGGGGCCGTCGCTTTACATCGGGAATCTCCCCCATTCATTCACTTACGTCTATACTTTTCCTGTATCAGCAGGCCCCGCTGTTTGTGATACGCAAACCTGGGGTTTTGGGCTCCGCTCTGCAGGATTACTGATTTAGGAGCGATGATTTATATGTACTGGTTTATGCCCCAAATCGGACGATGGCGATACGAAAGAATTTTGATAGTCTGCGTCGGCATGAACGTTGCCAGCCGCATCGTCTGAATTTTGTCGACTTTGGCCAACTAGTGTGTTTGCACTCCTTATCCCTCTATTCTACAATAGTGCAATGCTGAAACATTTGAGTCTTCCTCTGTTACGAGAACGGTGCGAGAATTCAAGGGGACGGGTCCACCTCTATAGTCTTTTCTTCCATCCCACCTTCACACAGGTAAGCAAATGCTTCCCTTGTTCTCCCGGTCTGCCCCGGCATCCTTAGCTTTAAATTGATGCTTGCTACTGAGTCTTGTTTCTCATGTTTTGATATTGCGGCTCAATCAAATAATGAGGAATATCAGTCCCCTAATAACGCAGAGGCTGAAAACGGTGCGGTACAGTTCTGTCCTCATAGAACCTAATATAGGTTTTCCCGACGATATTCGGCAGCGCGCCTCTCGCTCTGCCTGTTCAGTTTTGTTCACATTTAAAACCATGTAATAAGCACTTAAAATTTAGTTAACAAGTTGGTTACTAACGGGGACCACCACCCTCTAAAGGGTTAAAGCGTTGAAATGTGCGACAAGTCCCACGGGAAGTGGACTTTGGCCCAAGAGGCAAAAAATGGCTTTTGTAAAGGGTATCGCATAAGGGACAACTCCTGGATTTGTATGGCATACTGAAGTACTAAATAAGTTCATATAGAGTTGGTCCAATGGATTGCTCTAATTGGTCATGTGAAAGCACTCTGGGCCCCCAGGAGCGCTATTACCTTAATCATGAGAGAAAATATGTAAGTGCCTTCTTCTCCCCTTTCTGAAAGAAGCAGCAAGGATGATGACTGATAAGGAAGATGCGATTAAAAGAAATAACTTTCTTAATTCAAATGTATATGCTACATTTTCAGGAGTATACATTTTTAAAATTAAATGATAACTAAAGTATTCTGTGAAATTGCATTCTATTCCATTCCTATAGTCATGATAATGAGTTGGTGGGGCCTAACAGAGTCCCACTCATTCAAAAAATGTATTAGTGTTCAAGTCCCATGCGAATAACATATTTTTATTATCAGATATAGATTTTGTTTTTCTAACATGGATCACGTGATTGGCATGGTGGTGTAGGTAAAAAAAAAAGAGTTTTTCATTCATGTTGCATCATGCATTATCAACAATGCATTCCCATGGAAATTGGACCTGAAGCACTTGAAGGGGACTACTGTGCACCAGCTTGTGGATAGGCACCTAAATTGAAAAAGAAGAAAATATCAGTCAGAGAAACATAGAAGAATCAGCAATAATATTTCATTGTGAGTGCAGTCCAGAGATTAATATTCCTCTCTGCTGAGAATTTTCATTTTCTGTACTTTTTTTACCATTTAATTTCTTAACCAGTCAAATCCAATGGCAATTTGGACTCAACAGCCCAATTGAATTTATCAGTTTGTATTAGTTGTTATGTATTAGTTGAAGCTAGATTCTGAATCATACCAGTCCTTATCTGAAACAACATAGCCATACCTACAAACATGTTGAGTAAGTAATTAGCTAGCTAGTTTCTAGCTCTCAAGTATTTCCAATTGTAAATAAGACAAGCAAGTTTCTTTTCAGGATGATTAGTGCATTCATCAACTTGCACACAGCATAAATAAAGGGAAAAATACACTCTCTAATCATATAACACTGAAATTTACTATTAAAGTTGTTGATTGTTGTACATTGCCCTTGTATCAGGGAGCCAATCATCACAACTTGCAAGTGTAAAGGAGCATATATTCCACAATTCTTCTTCTTCTAAACTACTTTAAATTCTTTCTCTGAAAAATGTCAAAACCACATATGTCAGCCGCTTTTGTCAGGTTAATTGACATCATGAGAAAATATTCCCTTCCCCTTAGTCTTTTATGCCTGTCTGAATGATATATTTTCTTTGTGATGCCATGATATTCAGTCTTCATTAGTATCATATTTGTCCTCAGTTTTCAGTAAAGTGCTGAAACCAGAAGGTAAAAGATTGAAATCACATGGTGTAAGCCTTAAGAAATCCTGTCATCTTCAAGAATCAAGGATCAATCAATATTTTGGACAGACTTATCTACACTCTTCTTCCCACCGAGATCCTTGACCTTAAATATTATGTTCAGCCATTTTTAATCAGAGCTGGTATAATTGAACTTACCTGCAAGCAAGTCTGCTGTTTGCTAAACATATATTATGTTTCATGAATAAATTATGAAATTAGCTCACCTTGTGGGATACCTAAACCCACAGCAATGCTGGCAGCCACAGCAGCAGCAGACTCGGGCATGAGCTGTACAGCTGCAAAACTGCTCCCATGAGAAAGAATTGCTGGGGTTCCAGGGTGTACTGCCTTCATATGCTCCTCAAATGGCTTTCTTCTATCAAAGCCCTTCCCACAAATATCACAACTGTATCGCTTCTCACCAGTATGGATACGATGATGAGCATCCAGGTTGGACTTTTGGGAAAATGCCCTCCCACATGTCCCACAAAGGAATGGCCTCTCACCTGCAAATCAAATCACATTATGCATCAAACTCTGGGAAATTCTATTCATGGTTTATCTCTCTTCGCACAATGAATACTATTGCAGATAGAGAAGTTGATCAGCTCAGCTTGATAACCTTTAGGAGTTAGAAGTGCTCACTCAATAATTTTTTTAAATGATAATGCTAGGTTCTATTTTGCAGCATCATTACTATTCCTGGACTAATGTTGTGATTTGGCCTGAGGCTCAGAAACTAGTGGGACCTTGTGGGCTCATGGGACAGTTTTCCTGTGCCAGCTACTCTCCATTTCTACCTATAAATAAACTAATACAGATAGCTGCACCAATTCTTCCCAAGTAAATCAAACAAGCTGAGGTAGATGATTTCATTTACATTCACTTTTAAGGAAGAGAGCAGGAAGCAACATCATGCAGTCAAGGAATAGAGAATGAATAGAGAGCCAGGTTACTTTCATGTAACATCTACATTTTCATATTTTCTTAAATCGTAGTATAAGAGCAGGACTGGGTGATATAAGTCTAATGAATGAAACACTTGATTTTGGCTTGTATCAAAATGTAAATATCCTATGTTAAATCACTTTAAAATAAATCCTATGTTACTTTCATTTGTGTTCTGTGGTCAATGATCCTAGGCTCCTCAATATAGAGAAGACCTTTCCTATGCATATATGAGCAAATAAATCTAAAGTTTCACCAATCCTGACTTCATGTGATGAAAGTTCATATTTGGCAGAAAGGTTCAAACAAGGGAACTTTTCCACATGAAACTGATCCAGGATTTGTATTTCACTACCTCAATCATTTCTACAACTATTGAAACAGCAGAAAAGTAAAGGGATGAAAATGGAGTGATGAAATATTATGAAAGTTTAAAAAAAGTACAATTCCTTGCTTTGTGAATGTCATCATCTGAAGACTTTATGGAGCAATATCTTGCCATAGAAACTAAAATAAGAGAAAGAGGTACCCCTTCAGAGAGGAAAATAATTAAAATTTATATTTTGAGTTTACTTCTGTAGCATACCTTTCATATCAGTGTGAATATCGGTTTGCTGTCAACAGAAGGTAACCTGTTAAAAGGACACTGTACTGCCAGTGACAAGCTCTAAAACATGAAATTAAACGTAGTAGAGCTGCGATGTACATGGTGTACATAGTCAATGGAGAATAGCAGTCAACAATAGCTGGACAGAATTGAATGAAATTTGAGATTATAACTCAATACAAAATGGAATTTTTATAAATACAAATTTTTAGGATAGGTGAAACAAATTTGCATCTTGTTACTGGTTTGGATAGGAAGGTTGCAGAGTTGCCACCAGATGAGTAGACAAAATGTTAAGTTTGGGCTTGGGTAACCTGTTATTACACAAAAGGATACAATGTGATTGGTACAATGTGGGCATAGCACAAACATAATGGAGTTTGGACTGAGTCTTGCCTGGTCAGTAAACAGATGTTTATGACCCTCATGAAGCATTTTGAACAACCAGGAAGACTACAACCTTAGTCGGGCAGCATTAACAATATGGCTCCTCCTGTGACAAAGCATGCCCCACTTTTTTGCTGCTGCTACATACAGTTGCAGGTCAACTGCTTCTTTTGCTGCCCTGAATGCTGATTCAAAATGCTTGATAAAACATGGCAGGTTTGAAACACGACAGACCATCTATCTAACAGGAAAATTAACATATAAAGGGCAATTTGATATTGTCCAGTTTCAAGCAGATCTATAATATCGCTCAATCTTAATTAGCTGTTCACATCAACATTGAACTTAGTATTGTGCTTCATATTGACATCATGCATAGTGTCAATATCAAACTTTAGCAAATCCAGGTAAATCATGGATGAGATGAAGAAATGCTCCAAAATGTGCCCTTGGGAAAATGGGACAACCCCAGATACCAATCAATTTTATCCTCTATTGTCATTCAAATCAGCTTTGCCTCTCCTGTTTGACACAAAAAAAAAGTATTATCAAATACCAAGACATTGAATGGCAATGATTGGTCTCTCCCATCTTCCCTCAATGCCATGTAATAATGCACCCTGTGGATTGTTTTTGTCAGGCAAACAAATGCTGAAAAACTAAAAAATTTCAGTTATTCCTTTTCTCCCCCACCCCCTGACAAATACATTGATTTCAGGCATAATATCAAAGGAGAGGAAATATAGTTCATGGTGTCAACACCACTTGGTGACCGATGAAAAGAGAAAAAATAAAATATATTGTGTTATATTGCCTTGCTCTCTCTCCTGCATTAAAACAAATTCTGAGCATTGATGTATATCAATGATAAACAGAGAAAAGAAAGAGAAAGAGAAGGCGTGTATGTGTATCTCACCACTGTGTTTCCTCTGATGATTTCGGAGTTTCCAAAGGCTCACAGCTCCAAAACCACAGTCTGCACATTTGTACTTTCGATATCCTGAGTGTATGGAGAGGTGATCTCTCAGGTGTGCTGGCCTGATGAATCCTTTTCCACATATATGGCATATCTGATCACGAACTTTGCTGTGGCTCTTCTTATGAGCATTTAAGCCAGATTTGTCAGCAAATTCCTTTCCACATTCATTGCATGAGTGAGACTTCACTGTTGTGTGCCTTCGTTTGTGACACTGCATCAGTTTCCTTGACTTGAACCTTCGATTACACACATCACATTCATGCTGGTAACTAATACTATGTGTTTCCAAATGATTTTCATAGTATTTCCTTCCACTGAAAAGCTTGTGACAGATCTCACAAGCATAGGTTCCATCTTCCTTAGGCTTGGGAATGACCTTCTTTCTATTTGAGAAAGAGAGATCATTCCCATACCTTTCATGCTTCTCCAAATGCTTTTTGAAGCGATCTTTCCGAAAAAACTGTTTGGAACAAATCTCACAAGCAAATTCCACCCTCTCACCATGTTCTTTTTTGTGTCTATCGAGCCCCTTCAGGTACTTGAAGGTCTTATTGCAGACATCACAGGGGAATCGACCTTCTTCACAATGGACTTGAATCCGATGCTGCTCATATTGCTGAACAGAACTCAAGACCTCATCACATAATTCACACTTTTTTGGGACTGTGGCTGCTTGACAATTCATAGATGGAAGGTCCACATTTTTCTTGGTCATCTTTGTTTGAGATTTCCCCTTCACTGCCTTCTTCCGGAGCTTCATAATGAGTTTGTGCCGATAGGTGGTCTTATATGATCGATGCTCTTGCTTTCCAGGTTTATCTCCTCCACTAACCTCTGTAGGTCTTCCAGATTCAGATGCATTATTAACAGAACCTGTAAAAGGTACTTCGTTGGAGATTTGAACATTCTCAGTACCAGAAGTAATATCTGCCTCTATCAATGGGGATGATGTGGAAATGCATTTCTCACATCCATTACAGTTATGTTCTGTTGGCATTATTTGATTTTCCTTCATATGCTCAGCCATAAGAAATGGTGTCCTGAAAGACTCATCACACTGGGTACCATTACAGGGAAATGTTTTATTTGATTGCTCAGAGTCATTGACACCATTCTCTATCTTCTCTGTCTGTTTCTCTTTACGTTTTTGCTGGGCAGTTTCGGATAGTTCACGGATCTTCTCCTTCATAAACACTTTGCAATGTGTTCTTTGCACTTCTGCAATGGATTTCTTCACTTCTTCACTCATGAATGCTGCTCGACTTGGATCATATACACCATGAACTTTCCCATAATGGAGAAGAAGTGATTCTTCATGTTTGAAGCCATGGTTGCAGATGGAACACTTGTAAGGATACATATCTGAATGCTGTAAGAAATGAGCACCAAGTTCTTCCACTGTGTCAAATGTCACACTACAGAGTCTGCATATAAAGTGACTGAGGTCAAGCCTTGAGGCACCATTAAGTCCTTTAGAAGACATAGCTCCATTCTCCATCCTTCCATTATTACTTTGACTAGGAAATGATGCACAGACTTTCTCATCTCCCTCTAAATCAGACCCAACCTCTCCTGTGCTGGAATCCTTAACCTGGAACAAAATTATGAACACACTTTAAACTCTTAAAGATATCAATTACTTCAGAATAGTGGTGAATGGCTTTTAAAGCAATAAGAGTTGAAGTACATGAAAGATTGCTCTTTTTCATCATAGCTGTGAGAACCTCTCTCTTATGGTTTCAAGAATATCTCACACTGACATCACAATATTGTAGAATGCATGGATGACAGTCCATCATGGCTTTCCCATCTCTTGGGCAAAAATATATGTGTAGATCTTTAATGTGTATGTACCTACTCCCAGAGGGCAATCTTCAGTACGACAGGATGTTTGTTGACAACATTAAACAAAGATAAATTGAGAGAGCTTTCCCAGTTACTCCCAATAGGGGAGTGGTACAGATGCATTTTAATGCATTAGAACTCTCTTGAGTACATTTCAGAAAATTTTCAGACTGAACATGTCAAAAATTACATGACAGTGATATGTAGTTATTTTCAGGGAACATATCATCACAAGTCTGATGAGTAAGTATGCAATTTCAGCACACTTCAGGAGGGAAAAAAAAAATCCTTTTTCAGATTGAAGACTGAAAATTGAAGAATATTTAACTTTGTGCTAGCAAGCTGAATGTCTGAGCTATATGGTATGAAGGTGAAATATTCCCCAATTATTATTCTCCTCGAAAAAGAGGCTAATCCATATCATCCTGTATAATTAAAAACATTATAATCCTGCCCTTTTGCCACACCTGTGATGAAGTCGCCTCATCCACAAATGCATTTTTTCATTGAACATTACATATCTTCCCATCAGTACTTCTAAACTTGATCTGATTTCACTTCTGGTTCATCAAGTTGCCCAACATGGAAGCAGCAGCATCAGGAAAAAAGAGCTGAACCCAAGTCAAAAGCATGTTTTGAATTATCTGTCTGTAAACCAGAAATTACACTGGATTGTGAACTGGAGAAATAGCAAGGATGCCTACCTTTCATAATATGCCCTGCTTTGATCTTTTGACAGAGCACAGTGCACACACCCCAGTATAGTCATGTTATACTTGCACAAATGGTATTGGTCCAAATTTTATGTTTACCTTGCGAATATGAAGACTTATGAGATTTTTGGAGAACTGGCACGTAACAACCTCAGAGCATCATGGGCTCCAATGAATTTTTTTTACACCAGTTAATAATGGGGGAAAAAACTCGTTATTTTTACAAAAAATACTGAAAAATACAGCATATCATTCTCACTTCAGCATATCTTTTTGCTGAACGATGGAAAAATTTCAAGTGCAAGTCTAACTTAATTTGTCAGTATTCTGCTTTAGAATGGGTCTTCACTTACCCTAAATCTACATAATGGCAGGATTTAAAATTCATGAGTACCTAAAGAAAACCTGTTTTATTCAATGCATTCATGAAGCTTCCATATAAATATATTCCCTGTTTCATAATGCCATGCTACTTAATTGTTACATGCATGAGAATGAAATAAAACAAAAACTTTTTAATACCCTTCAAAAAAAATTTAATGAAAATAACTTTTCATTAAGGAGAATGTTACTTTCTTGGTAAATTCTATTCTCTTGAAGCTCCTTAATATATATATATATATATATAACATGTAATACTTCTTTGACCAAAAAAAGTAAGCCACAAAAATATATGTAACTCTGTACTCTCTATTTGCACTGATTCTGCACGAATAGTTTTGAAAGGGCTTGACAGGCTTCCTTCTATTGAGGTTGAAGCTCTACTGTTATTTGACTCTATTCATTTATGAACAATTCATAGCAAATTTAGTCAGCTCATATTTCAGGTTTTTACTCATACCAACCTGTAATATGATGGGTTTAACAAGAAAACTCACAGCTGGTGATCCAGAGTCCTCATCTTGAAGTGGCTGAACATGGTTATTCTGGAACACTGTGGACACATTTGGAAAGATGACAACAGACTCATAGGATGTTTGCTGTTTTTCACGCTTCTTTAATGTCTGTCCATATACCTCTTGGACATGCTTCTTGGCAGCCTTACTTCGGAACTCATATTCATCAATATCACTGAACACTTTGAAGCATGTAGCACACACCAGCTCATGCATCATCTGATGGTTCTCTATGGTGAGGCACATGATATCCAACACTTTTTGCTTGATGGTGATGTTTGAGTAAGGAAGAGTAAAACTGCTGAACACACCATAGGAGGCAGGATCTCCTGAATTCAAGTCAATAATGGTGTCACATATCAGGCAGTGGTGTGCCATTGTGAAACCACAAAGTTTATACACGTTTAATCACTAGGAGTAAGTGCCATGAATCTGCCAGTGACTTGTGAATTTCCTATGTGGAACTAATTCCACTAATTCATCATGTCTATTCATGCTGAGTGACCTGAATAATGTGGTTTAAAAAAATATATATCACCTGTAATCATTTCAAGAAGCCATATTAGAGAAAGATGACCATAAAAAAAAGAGGAACAGTTGAGATGTGGGAAGTAAGCTTGATGATTACTCATACCTATTTTTGGAAATAATAATAATGGGTAAGGTAATATGACACTTCAAGAGCAAGAAAACAGTTTTCTTTGTTACTTCCTGCTCTTGCCTGATGCATGCATCTCACCCATCCATTCTTATTACCTCCCTCTGGAATGTCCAAAAATGAAGCCAAATACACTCTAAATACTGATTTCAAGTCAACCATGCTAATGTGTCAGCAAGAGCAAGCAACCTTGGCCAAAAAGGAAACATTAAAAGACCCTCAAGATTGACATTTATTGACTGGCTGTTGAAAAAGCTTCATATTAAACACCTGCTAATGGTGAAAATTGAACCTGGTAGCATACCCATAGAGCAGGGGTTAGGAACCTATGGCTCATGAGCTGAAAAGTTTGGCTCATTGAGTCATGGCTGAAAATCATTGGTTGTTGCTCATTTTTCTCGTGAATAAAAGAATGCATATGTTTGTTGCCAACTTCAGTAAAAAATGATGTTGTTCTGAAGGTATTTTGCTCACAAGCGCTTAGCTCAATCTTAATATGGCTCACATGACCAAAAAGGTTCCTGACCCCTGCCATAGAGTAACCATTTGGTCCATGTTGAGTTTCTCTAGGGATTGCTGGATGTTAATGATGACATGAGATTACACTCAAGTGTCAGTTACATGGGAGGAGGAAGGAATGAATACACCCTGGTACTGGACTAAACTCTAGTACCAGGGTGTATTCATGAACTTAGGACCTTCCTGCACCAGGTAACTTAGCATGCTTCATGTGCCATTAGTGTGCCCAATATGTAGTCATATGTGATTGATCCACCTTACCCTCAAGAAGCAATCCTGGCACTTCCTCTACCTAGTCATCATGTGAAGCAACTAGCAGGATCTTCTGAGATAAGTATTTGTATCAATCTGAGCATAAGGGGGGAGATGGGGTGGCAGCATGCTTCAACCAATTTTTTTAAGGTGCAGGGGGGAGATTATTTGATAGGATTTCCATGGTGGCGTAGGATTTAGTTACCAAGGGGAGATCATCCCTGTCCATTACAGTTGTAAAAGAAACTGAACCTGCTTGGGGCAGTTCGTGGTGTCGATTGACTGAACATTGCACATCCTATCCTGGGCGAAGATACATTGGGGGATGAGAGGACTCCCGAGTTCGAAAGGACTAGGAAATTCCAATCTAAACAATCATAAGAACAAGTCAAATTAGGTAAGAGGATGGTTTGCTTCCGGATTTCATGCAGTAGGCCTATTCAATTGTAACCCTAAAAAAAAAAAAGAAAACTTCAATTTTCAATAGTCTTCAGTCCAATATTTAGTGGCAGAGAGGCCTCGGCCTCATAAGTTCCAGCTGATAACTGGTTGAACAACAGGTCAACAGTATCCACGGGCCTATCATTAAGCAAAAGAGCCGATATAGCCTATAGAGTGACAATCTACCATATTAGGCTGGGTTTCCACCAGACTTCTAGGGCAGCCATTTTTTTCAATATGATAAGCCTAATCTCTGGCAACACTGTTTCGAAAATGGGGATTGCCATCGGTGAATGTATGTCCGCTCCCTGTCTTGCGGCATAGCAGGTTTCCAATCACGCATTTGCATGTATTTTTTTCAATGGAAAAGGTTGCACAGAATCACTACAAGCTTTGCTCATGAGCCGGAGTTCGTCCAGACGTTCGTTCAAAGCATGCAATTCTTTATGCAAGTTGTGGGATCCCGATTCTTTTCAAGAAAATATATATAATAGGTGCTAATATGGACACATTAGATGACTAATAGGGCATTTGTTTAGCGTCCAATGACATTACTATGGGAAGAGACAGTTGTGTTTGCATAACTCATTCTCAATATGTTGCTAGGCATGAAACTCAATTAGGAAAAGAAGTACCACTCTTGTGCCATTTTGCTATCTCCCTTGTACTTTGGAGATACTTCAAGTGCAGTTTCTGGAAATAGAGGGAATTCTCAAACTTTCTGAGGCTAGGTGGTAACAGGTTCCTTTGCTACTATCCATACCTTAACAAGGATTGCTTTCTTCACTTTGTTTCATCTTATTCGATCATTTAATGCTTTTCTTATTGCCTAAAAGTGTTTTTTTATTATTTTATAATTTGTGTGTAAGACATCTTCGGTGGTCATGAATCTCTTTAATGGGTAGCTTGGCAAAAATTATTACATAATAACTTAATGACAAGTTGTTCCTAAATTTAAGACTGTCATTGTATATACATTCCACTCTGCAACTCTGTGATAGTAGTTAATCTCATACCATGCTTCTGAAATCATTTCACCTTGAGTGTCCTTTGTTGGCTGTGCACCAAGTTGTAGCATAGCAATTCATGATTGAATGAGTTATAGAATATATACTACAATGAAAACTTGTTAACTTGGATCCTGATAAATCTAAATTCTGCTTATCTTGAAGTTTAATGCTTGATCTCAGCTGAATCCCATAAGACACCATATTAAATATTCACCTATCTCAAATTTCCAGATATCTGGAAAGACATTTTCACTCCCGTTTACGATTTTCTCACGGTTAACTTGAAATTGGGGTGTGAAGGAGGGAAAAATTATTGTGGGACCTATTGATTTGTTGACTAGGTGAAAAGCAAGAAACCTGTTTGGGAGAAAATCGTTTTCTTTCTTTTTTTCTGCTTCTCCCTCCTCCCTCACAGATGCCTGTGGAGAGGATTAAAACTGAAAAGCTTCTGCTATAAAAAGAAGTAACCTGTATAACTTTTCCTGTCTGTCTATAGCTCTTACTTCTGGTCATTCCAGTTGTATTTGGTTTCCAGAGTACCAGATGAAGGGTGTTGTGATGAATGAATTTTGCTAATGGAGTATCAAAGTTTCCATAGAAGAGAATAAAAGCCAATTATAATGAGAAGGTCATCACTCCCCAAAATTGGATTCTTGTGGATGAAATTTGCCCTATTATATCCCTTATTGTAAATAAGAAAAAAAAATTTACTAGTAGAGGAAATTAGTCAAACTTCAGATAACTCGAAACTATTTGCCCAGTCCCAAAAGTTCGAGTTAACAAGTTTTTACTGTACTCTGAATAAGTACTATGGGAAGAATGTTCTCAATCTAGACAGGATCTTATTCATTAAAGCAATCCTATGACATGTTAACTTTATGTGGTCATCCCATTTTAGGCTGCTGTTTATTGCCACTTCCAGGAATTTCAATGATCTCTCTTACCTCAGTAGTTGACCCTTAATCTCAATCTTATCATAACTGAGTATGGAATGTTTACTATGACTAATCATGAAGTTACTTTTCTCTGCTTTTAATTCCAATTTTTTTTTTATTTCTCAGCAGGGCTGGCTTAAGAAGTTGCGAGGCCAGGAGCAAGTGGATTCTTGGTACTAACCTCCCCCCACTTTACACAAATACTTAAAGTTTTTAAGTCCCTTCAGGGGCCCCCCTGGAAGAGTGGGTCCAGAGGCAACAGCCCCCTTTACCCCCCTTAATCTGGCCCTGCTTCTCAGCCATGTTGTAGCTCAAGCTCAGGCTGCAATATATATTTTAAATTTCTTCAGAACTTCCCCTTATGGATATTTTCTGCTGTTTGTACTCTGCCCTTCAGAAATCCTTGTTGGCCCTTGTACAACAATTTGCATTGCTCTAAATAAAACACTTGTAGGTCAATGATGCACCAGGCTTTTTAAAAAATTCTTGAACATACCAATAGGACAGATACTGAACAATAATTTCCTGGCTCCAGATTTGTAGTTAGGTGGAACTCTGACTATTCTTAAGCTATCTGGAAATTACCCTGTGAGATAGATTGGTTACAAATGCGAACCAAAAGATATACCAAAATATCAGTACCATCCTGCATAAGTTAAGGTTGTAAACCATCTTGTCCCATGGCTTTGATAAGAAGTAATTTTCATTTCTTCCTTAACTTAATCAGGCCATCAATACATGTGACAAAAAAAGAATTCCAATAGAGGGTCCTGGGGATGTTCCCCATGACTCTGGCTTCTGAACACGCCCATTTTAAAATTATAGAGGTCTCTGGAAAAGGGCCCATTTGCCCTTATCTATATCTATGTTCATGCACTGTTTGACTGTCTCCAATAAGTTAGAGTGATCCAAAGATAGTTGAGATGTGTATGTAATAAAGAAGAAGCAGTTTAGTTGAACTGGATTCCATTCAGTCTCATTTTACTTCTCAGAAGATTTTGCCATTTATGTGGAATTTTATCTTTTGCCCCTAAGCCCCTTTTCCAGGGAAGTCCTCAATTGCTATCAGCTCTCCCCCTAATAACCAGTTAATAATCTGCTTGACTTTCCTACCTTGGATTCTATGTCTCCACAGTAGCTAGTACTCTTCTTGTAAAATGATTTCAAAAGCTTTTGCAGGGTAGCTCTTTTAGTTTAGGAGTGCTTGACCTAAAATCCCAGGCTCAAAGGTAAGCTTCTGAGAGAAGAGAACAAACATATAACATTATAATTTGGTCTAGGTCATAGATGCATCAGAATGTGCATGTGGGGAATGAGGAAGCATGTGTAACCCATGTACCTCAGCTGAAACCACTTATGGCCATGTCAACCTATCTACGGGGTGGGCCAGAAGATTCCACCTTTTTCATTCCGGTGTCATATTATCGCTAATTAAGTTAGGTTCCTGCAATCAAGCCATTTATTAGAATGACTAAATTTTAATTGAAAGCACCTTGTTTTGTGAAAATTAGTTAAGCTTTTGCACAGTGACAAATTTACAGTGGGGGGGGGGGGAAAACCATTGCTGTGCAATCAAGATATTCACCTCATCTCATTTTCATTCAGTTGCATGTTTTCATGAAAAGCATTGTAAAGGTACACTTGACAAAGAATATTAATGGATAGGTACATTTAAAAGGAGCGAAGTAATAACACGCTGCAAAAAATGCTGGATTAGTGTGAACAATGTTTGATGTGGCTGTCATTTTCTTCTACTACAGCAATCCACCTGCCACTGCCAGGTTGCCCCATTGATTGCTGACTGACTCAAGTCATCCCGGCAAGCAATGATTCGTGCTCTGGATATTCTGGTTTTTTGTACAATATACCATCTCCTGTAATGAACCTCATGCTGTAATCCACAAAATTCCAGTCAAGGCTGTTTGGAGGCCATTTTCAGTTGCGATGAAATTAGAGCACTGCTCACAAAGAAAATTCCACATGTTAACATTCAAACAGTGAGATAGTGCCGGGTTTGTGCAGCGGCAATTTTTCACCTCTCACCATAAAATCATCACTGTGCAAACATTTATGAACTTGTTTTTGCAAAACAAAGTGCGTTTGATTCTCATTTAGCCATTCTGAGCAATGCCATATACTGCAAGTGCCTAATTTAATTAGCAAAAATTTAACAGCAGAAAAATGTGGGACTTTTTTTTGGCCCACCCTCAATGTCACCCTGTCAATTTTTTTCTAGTTCCATTAAGAGGGACCAGGAGATAGCTGTCACCCAACCAACTGCCAATCTAGCTTATATTTAGCATTGTGGGGTATGTAAAAATGAATGAGTGTTGGAAAGTTGAGGCTAAACCAACTCAGTGTATAGACACTCCCATTCGGATAGTCCTAAGCCCATGTTAGACCTATATTAGGTTTTTTACTTGGGATGGTTTTTCTTCCGTTAGCAGAAGCACACATGGATGAGTGAATGCGACCTACCCACTGGACTCAGTTGAACTGGGAATGAAGACAATGATGACATCCAGCAATGATGAAACTGATTATTTTCTTAATCTATGTGATGATCCCATCAGATTCGAACCTGCAAGTGCTATCAACAGTGTCTTTTATGATGAATGTGGGAAACAGGTATGTTTGAAGGTAGGCCCATGAAAATGAGCCTATCATAGTCCCATGTTTAAGCATGAAACATTGTTTTCACATTGAGCTTATGGTTTATTTGTCTAATCATTAGTTTTCTACATGAAAATGGAAGTTATCTTGAATCCTTTAACTTATGATCAAAGGATTCAAGTACATGAGGTGGAAAAAGACCTTGACTAGGGCAATTAAGGCTTTCCTCTACCCCTCTTCCTCCCTCTGCCCATAAAGATCAAATCACAGGTATCCTTAAGTTACCTTCCTTGCAGAAGAAACTCCATCTGGGAGAAAGACTAGCCAACTTGTAAGAATGAAGTGGCCCAAGGAAATCTAGAACAGAAAATGAAGTGTGGGGTCTTGGATGAGGAAATGTCCTAATAAGAAAGGTTTTAGGAAAAAAACGTAACTGCTTTCCTAAAAAGTCAGCCTATGGTGAGGTTTTATGTTTTGGTAAATCTAGGCTGACTCCAGCCTGCAATTTGGTATAAATGTATTCTTCCTAAAGGCCACATTGGTCAAGACATTCTATGGTGGCATTAAGAGAATTGTTCTCTGGAACTAGCTTTGGAGCTGTCATTTAATGTTTTGTCTTGTCTCAAGTGTTTTGCAATTGAGTGCAGAACACTTAGGCTAGTAGGAACAATTGCTGATGCTTACATTCATCAAATGTCTGTGTGTGGGGCACCTCTTGCACAGTGTCATGTGTGATGCAAAATAATACATGATTTTTGGTCAGCATATTTTATGTCATTACTGATATCACATAAGGGCAATTTTTTTATTTTGAATATTTCAAGAAGAGCAAGAAAAGCAATTTTACAAACTGTAGTATGATAATTGAAGAATGTTTTCCTTTCCATTATAGGGCTGAGGCTTGCATCTCATAAGTACAAAGTCAAACAATGCTCAATTTTCATTTTACAGTTCAAAAATCTGTGAATTCTTGCCCTTTTGAAAATTCTCAGACTTGCATATTTACCAATGTTTAGGGTGACCATAAAGTCTGGAAACATAAGAATATGTTACTTTTTTTTTTTTCTTTGTTGCAGATAACCTACAGTTTTGAGGAAAATGTATTTGATTAAAGAACTAAAATCTAAAGTTCATGAAGTGAAACTCAGAAACACTGAGCATCTGATTCAATACATAGCTGAAAAGTGTGCTTCTATAAATGGAAGTGCCAATTTACTTGATTGGTTTCATCAACACTTCAAAGTTGCCTTCAAATCTGTATTGATTCAATGGGAGAACATTTTGAACATTTATTTTAGTTTATTTGTACATTATCTTAATATATCCTTAATAAGATCCTATGTTTCCAGACTTTATGGTCACCCTGTAGATCATCTGTGAAATACAAGGTTCTAGATCCTTTAATTTGTTATCCCACTTCTATATTACGTATAATCATTAACAGCAAACCAGCTATTCATATTACTTTCACAATCTATAGAGTATAGACCATAATCAGCTCTGGCTCCAGCACCGGTCGATGGGTATGAATTCAAAATGTGCCATCAGTCTACCGGTCAAATGTGGCCATCGGTACAGTCCTAACATGAATATAAAGATTACAAACTTCTTTAAAATTGGTGATTCCAAATGGAACCTGTGGGCCGAAAGAGTTGAAATCAGACTTATAGTCTTGTGATTTTTGTACCAAGGTTTTGGGATCCATCTCCCATCTCTCTCTTGGGTGACTGGGTAATGAGCTTATGTCCCGTGACAGGGTGGCCTGGGCTCGAACCTAGCCAAGTCAAGTGTATATTTCCTAGTTCAAGCACCAGTGTGCTTGGGAAGGGAGTACCTGAACATGGAGCTCTCCCATCTCTAGATGTGGGATGTTGAGGAACTGCAGCAGTGAAGGTCGAATCCAGGGAGCATATCCCCAGATTATTATGGCAGTTAAACCAAATGTGAAATGATTTTTTCGACCTCTATCACAGTTGATTATGTCTGCATCACGTGCTTGCAACAGGTTGCAAGTTGTCATTGGGAGACACTGACTGTCAAATAGAGGAGAAGCTTCAATGCCTTGCAGCCACTCTCAATCCAAAGGGGAAAATGCTTACATTTTCAGCAGCCTAATAATTCTTTTTTTTTATGAAAGCATGTCATTTAGGCATTTTCAACCTTCTGTGGTGTTTTCACTTGAGTTGGACATTTTTTCACTTAACTTCGACACTCATGCATAAGGAACGTCCCATGAACATGTGTTGAGTCATGTGAAATGTTGTCTAGCTCAAGTGAAAAACACTAATGAGAAAAAGGAGAGAATATTCATCATTAGCTTTACATACTTAGTGTTTGGCATACTTCAGGTATAATTTCAATATCGGTTATTGGCAGGTCATGTGTCGTTTTAGGCAGATATATCGGATTCACCCAATATCAGCCGATACCGATAACCAAGAAATATTGTTGCATCTCTAGAAATTATTGTATCAATTTTAACTTCGAGAATTATTCCACTGCTGTTGCTGCTTTAGATATCTGAAAGGAAGTTTTTCAATATAGCAAGGATATTGGCTGAGTTAGGTAGGAGTAGCTCTCAGGAAGATCAGGATAGTTGGGGAGTTTGCAGAGTCACTGCTGTTCAATTGCAATGTTTCCACCTCTGACCTGCCTTTTTTTTCCCTTGTTCCCTTTTCCCTTCCCATGTGAATCATCACTGGGGAGACCTTTGAGCAAGAAACATTTCAACTGGAAGGACATTTAGGAAAACCTGTAGCTGCTGCGATTCTCTTCCAAGATGCAAAGCTTCTATCAGGATTGTTGTTCTTAGACATGAAAATGAGGTCATGAGAAGTCAGCTGTGAAGAGTATTACAAAATTTTCAATTTCTGTAAACCTTGACCAATACCATAAAGCTTTCATGTTCATATTGTGAAAAAACATGAGTGTATTCATTTCATTCTGGTATAACAGGTGTTTGCAGTTCGATCAGGAGGAGCAACTGGGGTGATTGTGAAGAGTCCTGTGAAGGACAACAATCACACATTCCAAATGGAGGACAAGGGCTCATTGGCATCCCTGAAGCTTTCGCCTGATCAGAAAATACTTGCTCTACAGCGGCACAAAAATTCTGTGGTGAGATGTTATTCTGAAGAGTCCATTAAACCTACTCAACATGGAGGTGTGAGTAGGTCCAATCCAAAAAATATTTTTTCAATACACTGACTGGTGAATCTCTTTCCTTGGCTGAATTCATGGAATATTGAGCTTTATATTACCTGTTTCCATGTAGTACAAAAACAGTCAAGTGCCCAACTTTGCCTGAAAACAACTTCATCAATTGTGCTTTGGTGATTTTGGTAAATAGTCATAATTTCTGTTTGGCTTTCATGACTCATTATGCCTTGTTTTTTTTATTTATTATTTAGGAATTCCTAAATGTGGTCAACAATGAGCTGAGCTCCCTGGAATATTCTCAACAATGCAAAGGCAAGCATTCCATCATCCTTGGATACATCTGGGTCTCAGCACGGGAAATTTTATTCATCACCAACAATGGACTTGAATTTTATCATGTTCGTTTTGCCATTCTGTCTTTGTCTGTTTGACTCAAATGATGAACTTGTTTAATTACAACAGGTAATCTATCCAAAACTCATCTTCAATTAATCATGGACTACTCAAGCATATCATTGGCATTTGAAATTGTAATTGACTTCAGCCTTTAATTCTTTCCCAAAATCTGCTGAAGGAAATATTTACAGTCAACCATCTGTATGTCACTGTGGGTGCTGTTGATTTGGCCCAATAATGTTGATAGCACTATATCCAATGAACCACAGTATGCTCGTGGCTATGATATCAATATCTCAGAGTGAAAAATTCACTAAATGGATGTGAAGCTTTTGTTGCCATCCTTAGATCCCAGATGCATTGTGGATACCATATCATCCAATCCATAGTTTTAATTTTTTAACACATCACTCTACCGGCATTGAGAAACTAATTTATCACCCAACATATACATGATCAATCCAAGGAAAGATAGGATTCTATTGAAACTCAGTTTATGTTGTTTAAATTTTCTAATTGATTAAGTTACTCAAACTGGTTTCCCTACTCTTTCTCTTGGAACTATGCCTGCATAAAATGATATTATGAATAAATGGCAAAAAATATTATTTTGGATATATGTAATAAATAAAAAACTATGTAGAATTTCATAGTGGAATACAGGGTGCAGCAAAAGTGAGGGAACATGGGAGAATTTAAGATACTCCCTAGCTTGGATTATGTGAATATAGCTACACCTACCTGATTACCATCACGAGTCCTTACTTGGGTCATCAAGATCAACGTTTCACATGCCTCAATGCATGGTTATTACAGTAGGCCATGTGTTGGAAATCAATGCATTTAGATTTGTTAAAGGAATAGTGGTTATTAAGAAAAATACATGTTCCTAAAGAGGTCCTCAAGTTGTGCCTAGGAGCTTAGCAAAAAATTAGTGTGGGCCAATGGGAAACAAATTTTTCCACCATTTGGAAGTGATTTTCAACCATTCCAAGAGTGCAGTAACATTAAAGTGGTGTATTCAACCAAAGAATCAGTGGAGCTGGTGATGATTTGCTCAAAAGCAGACAACAGTTTACAGCTAATAACTAATATGATTTTCCATGAAAGACACCCAATAGGCCAAGACCATCAATCAACTGCATGTCAGATTTGAATGTGAAATTCCAGGCAACTGGCAGTGTTCATAATGCCAAAAAAACCAGATGGCTGAAAACAGTAACAGGAGAAGCCAGCCAAACAGCACTCCTAGCATATACAGCCATACAGCTACAACAATCAACAAGAGAGATGTTGATAGATTAGTTGAAGGTCAGTCAGATGAATTTCAAAGCTCCACAGTTTCCATCCATTGTTGAACCTTTATGACAACAAAAACACCAACTTACATGTACTGTCATCTAATGGCCATTTTTAAAACCAAAGCCCCCAATGTTCCCTCACTTTTGCCATACCCTGTTTATAAAATAATGCTGCACTGCATTAAGGATCACACTTACCTAAAATGCATGGTTTCTTTTATATTAACATTTCAGCCCTGCAGCTCTACTTTAACACATCTCTTGCAAAAACTTTTTTTTTTTTCTTAGGTATATGCTGAGAAACAATCTTTGAAATGTTTGAAGACACTCAGTATGAATGTGGCATGGTATGAGCACAGTGCCATCACTGACACCATGTTGGTGGCAACTGGATCTGCCTTCCACCCTGTACTCCTCTGTCCTGGCAATGTTGTTCGCCTACCAAAGTTTTCTCTCGACTCACAACATACAGTTACAGAGAGAGACGTTGCCCTGGCTCAAATATATGGAGAAAACTCTGTCCTCTTCTTGAAACACCAGCTTCATGGCTCTGTTTCAGTCACTGTAGAAATTGTGATCTACACAGTCACCAGGTCAGTCCCTTACCCATTTGTCTCTTCTTGTTTCCATCTGTTATTATTTCTCTCCTTGAAAGGTTGGCACTGATGTTTACATTTCTTATGTCATGTCATCAAATTTGGCTCTTCATATTATAATTCTAGAGGAGGCACAGGATTGTACTGTTTATTTGACATGCTATGGACTGCAACATTTTGCTCTTTTCCACTTCCCCTGCAGGGGGACACAAGGGAGCTGTCTTTCAAGCATTGTTAAAGTTTTTCCTGGAGTTCTACTGCTCAGTTTTTCAGTTCTGTAAACATATACCCCCCCTCAGCCCCTCTCTGGGGACAAAATTCTACAGTTACCTCCAAGAAAATGCAACAGACAACTGGATCTTCTCCTATCACTGCCTTGAGACATGAAAATATCCCTTTGCTTTTGAAAAAGGAGTCCCAAGCATGGGTGAATAGGCAATAGATCTATTCCTTTGTTATATAAACATTTATCCGTACTTATCTAAAGTTCCATTAAAAAAATGTATGCTCTTTAGGAGTGGGAGTTAGGAGCTGTAAACATTCCAAGATTTTGCCTAAATTTGATTTATCTAATAATTCCTGCAACCTTTTTAATAGTATGATGATAAGTTGCAAGAAAAAGTACCTAGGATGAGACAAGAAGATCCACCCTCCCATAAAGCTTCAACCAATGAGACATCTTGCTGCCACATACCATGTCTGGAAAACATGTTACGTTTTGGACTTTGTCTCAAAAACACTTGCACAGGTACAACCCGTTCGCTGAGGCAAAGTTGTAAGCAAAGTACACACTGGTGTCTTGATTATAGGCTAGAATCAACAGGCTAGTGTTACTATTTGTAGTCGATATTGCCATAGCTTTATATCACCTTTCAAGACAATGTGGCCACATATTGACTGGAGGAATGTGACATGGTAGCATACATGACTGTGTTCAGGAATTCTAGCTATGGAACACTCAGAAAAACAATGTACTGCACCAAGCCTGCAAATGTCCAGTAGTTTAAAGCTGCCATTGTCACTACCATCCATGATATCACTCCAGCCAAGTGCCATTGTGCGATGGAGCACATGGTCTCTCACATACGTTCCTGCCTGCAAGTTGATGGACACCTTGTGGAGGGCACACATTTCTTCTCGTAACATCTATCTCAGTCAGTTTCTGTGGGTGTAATGTTCCATCTGTGTGCATATTGTATCCTGTGTGACTGTTTCTGAGACATAGTTCAAAGTGTAACATGTTTTCCAGACATTGTGCTTGCTTCTTTAAAGGTGTTCTGTCCTTTGTGCCATTGTCAATGTGAGAAATTCTCCCCACACACCGTCAGTCTTCATTTCCTTCATCACTCCTTGCTTTATGTGGCCTATTGACTCATTAAATTACTCCTTGTCTATGCATTTATTATCCATGAAAACTAAGAATTACCAAAATAGTTTTTCAAGTGTAGAATGTGATAGTTTTACTGAAGCAGCAACAGAAGCAGAAATTTTTCAAAGGTCGATAGGAGACAAGAGAATTCAGGGTAACTCAAAAAGAAAAATTAGAACGTATTTCCAAGTAAAAGTTCTCCCAGGTCAGTTGACCATATTTTTTAATTCTTTGAGGAGGCAGGCAATTCTTCCTAAATGTAATAACATGTGATTGAAAAAACTGAATTAATTGGGGCAAAATTGTAGTCAGTGGCAGTCAGTGGCAGTTGGATGAACACAGTCAACACCCTAATTTATTCTTGATCAGCTAACTTATGTGCTTGAAATTTTTAATGGAGAATTTGGAATCTCTCCATTCAATGAGATATCATTTCTGAAAATGGGTTTTTCCTAATCAATTGGATTTTGTCTGTAACCGAAAGAACCTGACCAGTATCCTTCCATGATTGGAGAATTGATACTATGATGGGTGAGCACCATTACCCCTTATTATCTGCAGTAAAGACTTTGATCACAGATTTGCCTTCTCTTGGAAAATGAGACTTGTATACAAGCACAGCAATAAAAAAGTTTACTTGCAATAAAAAAAGTTAGCCACATATAATCAATTAAATTTTCTACCAAAAAAATATATGCTAGAGGCAGTCATCACCAGCAGAAGTTCTGTGTCTCCTCTACAGGTTTGATCATGTTCACCCCACTGATGTGATTTCTCAAATGCAGTGGGTTGTGAATTTTGATGCATCAATTTGTAAGGAACATGAGTAAATTATACATTGAAAGATTCTCTTAGTATCCTGATAAAAATTTTACAAGTACTTGTTTGCTGGATATACCCTAATTGGAATTCTTAATCTTTCTCTTTTTCTTTTTTAATCCACCCTATGCATCTTGTAATGTTTCAGGTAGGGGAAGCAGAGGATTAGGCAGTTTACTTTCATGTCTTTTATCATCCATCACAGTGACATTAGTGATATGTTGGGTTCAGTTTCAATGTCATGGAGAAGTATTGTTGTTTACAACTTTGTTCTATACAGCAGTGTCCTGCAACAAAGCTACATAGAACCAAGGCATGATGCTTTGAACACCCAAGGAATTTGTTTCAAAGCTTTGAAGCATCTGGTATACCAGGGTATGACATTTTAGGATGGATCACATTGTATCCACCCCATTGAATGATGAGGAACACAAAACCATAGTAAATATTGATGAGGAATCAAGACAGGATTATGAAAATCCTAAGCCTTTTATCTTAAAGCATATATCACCACTCTTTCTCTTAATATGATGTATAAGGTATCACCATATCAGTAAGAATGGGAAAAGAATGCTTAAAGGTATTCTTAAAGTGGGAGGAAAGTTGAAAATCTCATTATTACTTTCACAAGTTTCACTCACTTTCATCATATGAAAAAATGTTATTTGGAATATTTCAGGTGTTAAGAACAAGTATAATTTTAAGGAGAAATTTTGTTAAGTAAATCTTCCCCTATATTTATCTAGATGAGTCAGTACTGGCAAACTCACTTGGTGATGAAGGCTGAATCATATTTATTTTCATGGTATGTCTCAACATAAGGGTGATTCATGTTTGGAATCTTTCAGGGAGACTGGAGCAAAGAAGTCCCATGTTTTGAAAGTGGATCAAAGTGGAAGAGTTGCCATTAATGTGGTTGATAATCTAGTCATCCTTCATCATCAGCCATCCCAAGTATGTGATGTGCTCTTCTGATCCAAGAAATTGCTCTAAGATGAAGAGAAGTGAACAGATATCTTGGAACTTCACCAATCTGAGCTATATTGTTAAATTGCTAAGTATGATGTTTGAAGCAGAAAGAATTGCATGGAAATTACTTTGTGACAAATCATATTATAGATTATTTTTGCATTTTTATGTTATTCATTTCTGTTTAAGAATTATATATATAATTATATATATATATATTTTACAGAGGTTTCTTGTGTGCATTTTTAGACCTCCTTGACATTTGATGTCAACTTACCTGGAGAATCAGATGGCTATGTGATCTATCATGAACCAGTGACCTTTCCACTGCCTATCAAGCCTCAAGAATTGGATGGAAGTCCTTGCACACTATGTATCCTTTTTGATTTGGTCATCATTAACTCATATGTTCATTAGAAACAGCAGTTTTCAGCATGTTATCACCAACAGAACAATTTTTGGGTAATGAAATATTGGCAAAACCCCTGCATTTCCATGTATATCTATAGCAATTTCTAAATAGGCCAAATTACAAAGTTATATTCAGAAAACTTGGACCTCAAATTGAATTCATAAAACTGCTAATTTCATTCAATCATTTCAAAATTATTTGTTCAAACTGGTCATATTTTGTGTATTTCAATTCTTTTTCACCTGTGCTTGCCTCTTGTTGCATAAGCACAATATGCACACGGTGAAATTTTTAATGGAGCCCGTTCAAGTTATTTTCAATGCTCAAGCAAGATCTGGACATATTTTTTATGTACAGTACTTGGCAGGAGAATATGCAGACTCATCCTGGTATGTGGTGGAAAAGAGAATCAGGATCTCCACTGCTGCCATGTTGAGGTCTTGTATTCTTCCTTGAAAGGTAGGTCATACTTGAAAGCAGTTATTCAGCAGAGGTTCACTGCCCAATTCCAGGAATTTCTCCTATGCATCATTAGTAAATGGGTCCTATTGCCACCTTGGCTTCTTTGCCTTGTCTCTTTTGTGACCAAAAAAAACTCAGTATTCCTATCTGCTGTCTGCTGCACACATGCTGAGAATTGCTGTCCTGCTAGAATCATGCTCCTTTAAGAGTTATGTGAGAGTCTTTTAGAAAATATTCAGGCCCAACAATATAATAAGCCTTGTGTATTGGTTCTGAAAGTTTTAATGGAGAAGTGAACGTTCCATTGTTTGTGCAATTAAAAATTATATCCTTCACTTATGAGCTTCAGTGGAGAATACCTCAGCTAATTTTCAATATCCTATGCTGGCACTTTCTTCTAGCTCTTATAATTTCATGTAATTACAAGGCTTCTGATTATTCCATCATTATCACCTCTGTTGTCTATGGCATAAGGACAGTCTCAGTATTTCAGTCTCAAGCAAGTCCTTAACAGCAGTTATTATTAATAAATGCAGACTCTACCATGTGGGTGGCCTTTCAGCCAGATGTGATCATTGATGCGAAGACAGGGTCACTTTGGCACTTGCATCTGAATCTTCCAGCCATTGTTCAACATATAACAAATAAACTGAAGCTGGTGCAATTCCTAGTGGGTCGAGGGGGTCCCATGGCAAAGAGCACGCTGTTGCGAGTTCTTTACCTCTCCATTTCACCTGAGATTGGTCCAGGAATGTGCATTTTGGCCAAAATTTTTGATCTCCTCAATGGCATGTACAGGGTACATCTGGATAAAACTGTCCAGAGTCAGGTTAGTTTCTTGGCAGCAGTTCTGCCTGTAGCCTCTTTGCTTCTGCTGCATGAGAAAATTTCTTATTTAAAAAAGAGAATGTATTTTGATGAATTCTTCCACTTAAGATGGGTTTGCCTGCTCATGGAGGACCAAAACTGCCTCCGCTACCTGCACAGGTCCCTTTTCACATGATGGTGTGTGATCAGAGTGATATGTACATGCATGTCTTCCTCACCCTGGTGAATGAATACAAAAATACATGCCCCACAAACATTCGATCTGCCATGATTGAATACTTGCGTTCCCTTGGTCAGTTTCACATCCCTGTCCAGCATTTCATCATAGAACTCCTCATTGACAATCTTGTGACAGACTCAGCTTTCTATCAGCTTCATCAATTGCTTCAGTACAATGTCATTCCAGACTCAAAGCCAATGGTTAGTCATGACATTAAGCAATACAGGTTAAGGCCAAGAGATTTTGAATATGAAGGGATATATCAAAAAAGATTATCTGTCTTCTAACTACAGGCATGCACCCTTTTGGCATTGAGAAGCATGTACGAACCTGCTCATCAGGTGGCATTGGACATGTTGAAGCGACTTGGGACTGCCAATGAGGAAATCCTAGAAATCCTCCTTTCCAATTTTCAGATCATTTCAGCAATCAGGTGAAGTTGCTAGCTTTCTTTCTTTGTCTCTGCATTCTGTTTCTTGCCATGTATTTACCTGGTATGACTAAAGACCCCCACATTTGGAAGACAAGAACAGCTTGCTTACTAGAGGCTTAAATTCTGAACCACTACTGAGAAATCACTTAATGTGAAACATGAAATGATATATTTAATTTCTTTCTATCAGAAAATTCCATTTTTGAGTAGGATGTTTCAAAAGTTTTATCTTGATAGACTGCCTAGTAATTCTATGGAACTATCATAATTGATAGTTAATAATTTTATTAGGAAGAGGAGTTTTAAGAAGATTTCCCGATTTCAAACAATGTTATATACCTGACCCATGAAGAGAGCTTATTTTAGGTGTCTGTCTTGACCTTCAAAATGAAGCCCTACACTCTTTCACATTTATAGGGATGACCTTTCTGTTTCACATTCAGGCAAAAGTCAGCTGGAATTTGGAATTATCTATTGTGCAAGGAATAACGTAATACTGCTCAAGTTCTGTAATAAGTCTGTTTGCAGCTTTTTCCTTAGCTCATAATACTACAGAGTTGTGCTCATTGATTGAAACTGAAGTTATTTACTACAGAGGTAGGCTACTAGTGGAACTGATTCTGGATGTGCACCACTCTTAGTGTTGAAAATACAGGCACCTACCAAGTGCTAACAGTATGTCTATCTCTGTAACTGTAAGAGCCCAAAAAAGTTAAAACTTAAAGCTTCTTCCAGAAAAGAGGTGACTTGCGGTGATCTTGGGTTGCATAGACTTTCATGTTTTTATGAAACTATGGGGTGTTGGTTTTTTCATGGTGGTAAATGCTTCCCAGGTTTATGGAGGAGGCAGAGGGAAGCTTCCAATCTTCATTTGCACCAAAGAAATTCTTGGAAGCAGCGCTTACAAATGGGAATCCTCTAGTCTTTCATTCAGTATTCAAATACTTGCAGATGAGGAACCTGAATCTTCGTAACAGTCCTGAGTTCATTCCAAGTGAGTGTTTTTTATTTTTTATGGTATATAAATTAATATTCACCATTGATTGTTCGATCCATTAGCAAAATATTGAAAGAGACTTTTCTTGCATTGCAGGTGAAGCTTGTGATGTCTATGTGAATAAATTTATGGAGATGTTTGGTGCAGATGCGTGAGAAGGTGAATTGTGATCCATCTTGTGATTAGAGATTAAGAGCATAGTGAGATTTTATTCCCTTAGTGTGGGGATTTCATAATTTTATTGTTTCATGGTTCCAATAAAGTTGATGTCTGGACTGTTCTTTGATGGCATTTGATGTCACTCGTTATTCTCATATCACCTTTTTCTCTGTTTTCAGCTATTATACAGTATTGTAAGTTTCCATAGTTTGATTTTATAAGTAAATGGATACGGAAGTAGGACAAGTAATATTCTCAGAAGTCATGAGAAATTTAGATGCCTCTGAGGCAGAAGAGGGGAGCTTGTAATTAGGGCCCACCGCCCTGTCCCATTTTTCGAAAAAATTGGGCAATTATAGTATTTAAGAGAATTGGAGAGCCCCAAAAGTACAACAATGTCGTACATAGGAGTTGAGGGTGTGAGAAAACGGTGTCAGAAAAGACGTGGACGATGTGAGAAATCGCATGAGATTGCCCCAGAAAATGGGAGAAATGCACGGGAAGTGCACAGCACGATCTCTTCATTCCTAAACTCATTGCTGAAAAGAAAATTCCTCTCGCTCAAGTCAAAGATCGTAAAAAGGGGCGTCGGAAACCTGGTGTCTAGGGATTTGTTCGACAGTTCCCACTGCTCCAGGTGTATAAGCTAAGGGTATTTTTTGTCATTTCTTCCAGTCTTATGCTTATCTGTTATGGATTGAACTCTGAAATTCATGTTTTCTCTGAAACTTCCGTTCTCTATCCCAACCCTTTTTAGAACTTTTTTGTGCCTTTTGCTTGTAATCGTATCTTCGTTTACCCTCCCCTCGGAGAAAGTGAAAGGAAGGAAGAATGGAGATATTGCTGTCAGGTCTGCAAGGATATTATTGCAATTCATGCCCTGTACCATGTTATGACGCTCCCGAGAGTGCGGATATGCTTTCTTTTCAATGAGCCTTTTTAAGAGGCGTCTTTGTGTCTGATAGTTGCGAAGAGGTATTACGCGGTGCAACGAGCGAACAGCAATAAATATGGTTCTACATTGATTGAAGAGATATAGCATGAATCATTACTGTATATGCATTACATAAATCCTTGCTTAATGTCCCATCTTGCAGTAATTTGGTTTTGGACTCCTACAAGTCGTCCAAGAATGGGCTGCTTGCATCTTTTCTTGCATTTCCGTTTTTCAGCAGCTTTTTTTCACCTCTACGAAAAGCAATCGATTCTTCGAAGGTTCCTGCCGATCCCATTATTCAGAGAGAAGGCCGGAATTAAATTTTTTGAAGTTTGATATTGCTCCAGTCTCCCTTGGAATAAGGATAGGATGAACGTTTTGGCCCAGAAAACAGACTTCGCGAAATTGTATGCAGGGGGAGAGGAGAGGTGACCCCAGGTCTATGTCCAAGAGTCCTTCATCCTAAGTCTCATCCAAACTTCCATTTAGCCGAACATCTTCCGCACTTTGTGGAAATGGAGAGTCGGTTCTAGTAATATTATTTCAAGAAGAGCAAAATACGAGGAAACCCGCTTATTGGGCAACTCTTCGTGTCTGATGCAATATATGTGCATCTACTTCATTATCGGGACTGCTCCCGTATAGAGTGAGATTTGTATTCCCTTTTCCTTGGTCTGAAGTTGATAGTCTCTATTAAGGTGCATCAGTGATTATGCCATGAAAGTTATTGCTTATCCGAAGTTAATTCCTCTGGTAGACCTTAGACATGGTCCTAAATAAAAGGTTTCTCTGGACTAAGCCAATTGAATTGTACTTAGGCCCTCAAAAAATAATTTCACTGCCAGGTAGGAATGCATTGATATTTCTGCAAGTATGGGTAAGAACAGACCTTTCTCCTCGCCAAAGGGGTAGTGCTGAAATCTTTTAAGGAGACGTCCTTCACTCAAACAGAGATTACCCAGAAAGTGCGGGAGAGTCAAAGGAGTGGCTGAAAAGTAAACACCACTGTGCAATCCAGAGGTTCATCATCTGCTTGTCGAACGGAAAGGTGTGTGCGCAAACAGAGTGCAGCAGACCGTATGATTAGAAAGCTCGTACTGTCTACGCTAACCGGGAAAAGCAGGGATCTGCCTAGTCAACAGGAGGAACATAAGAAAGAAAACTGTTGGTTTTGTAACATGTGGACCACGTTAGAAGCCGTAGTTCATTCCAATAATTATTGAAAAAGCCTTGGAAGGGGAGAGAAGATCATCAAACTTGATATGATAGAGGCTAGAGAAAGCTAAGGATCATTCTACAAGTTTTGTCACCCTAAACATAAGCGTTGCGTGGATGGAAAAAATGGCAAAGGAACACGAGATCTAGGGATACTTTTATCATGCATTTCATGGGAATTTCCTTCTTTTTTGGCTCCTTTTCTTGAAAAGGGGAGAGGCACGTGCTTCCCCCCCCCCCCCCCCCCCACCCCCCCCCATCCCCCCCCCCACCCCCCCCTCCTCGCCCCCCCCCCCCCCCCCCCCCCCCCCGACACTACGCCGCTGATCCTAAACGCATGCCAGTGTTTAGTCAGTGTAGCTGACATTTCACATATCATTCGACCTGACACCGTGCAAGGCATAGGGGAGCGGCATGACCCTCGTTCGTTAACTGGATCCCTGTTCGCGAACTGGTGCCGCTCCCCTAGTTGTTCGGTGACTTCCCAAGTATTCGGGGTCTGATATAACTACTTACAGCTTTCTTATGGTTCTCCTTCATTCTTGCACTCCATGTTCCTCCTTATTGACCGATGCTGTACAGAATGGAATTCCGCAATTTTTTAAAACCCTTATGGTGCCAGAGCCGATTAAGTCGACGCTACGAATCTCGTAGAAAAACACCAGAGTCGAGGAGTTAGCACTAATAGGTCTGAAGTTCGAGAAGAAACGCGATTGAGCGCTTGGACTAAATGTTTCTTAACCCTTTTATCCGAATCAGGCATTTTTTCAACGAAGTTCGTTGCGTCGATATAATTGGCTCTGGTACTATGAGTGTTAAGCATTGATACCATCTTTTTCAGCTTGCCTTCAGCGATCAAGAGAGTCCGTTTGAAATCCTTGGAGACTCGGCAACTTCGATCGTCGCCAACCTGGAGAATAAACACTGCGAAGATTGTCTCATTCGTCTTGGGCATTTAAGCCCATAAATATGGGTTGGCAACCCAAGAAGGGGGACGTCGAGAAGAAAAGCAGAACAATCGAAGGGAAAATTTTACATTAAGGCAGGGGTCGGGAACCTTTTTGGCCATGTGAGCCATATTTAGATTGAGCTAAGTGCTTGAGAGCGAAAGGTTTTCAGAAAGACAGAATTTTACCAGAAGTTGGCAGCAGACATACGCATTATTAGATACATGAGAAAAATGAGAAAAACCAAGATTTACAGCCATGATTTAATGAGCCAAACTTTTCGGCTCATGAGCCATAGGTTCCCGACCACTGCATCAAGGGGAAAGTTTGTCGGCTTATCGTAATGAGTAAATCTGGTTAATATATATATATATATATATATAAGGAGAAACCGCTTCACGGCCGGCATCCCAAGATCATGGATAAACCATCGATCGACTCGGACGTCAGCTATAACTGGCTGAAGAAGGGACTGCTGAATGCCGAGACAGTTCTTCAATTAGCTGCAGGAAAGACTTCTCTGAATCTGCCATGATGCAAATAGATTGGTGGACCGAGCCATTGGGAAGACTGACAATGAGAAAATTCTTCTTTTGCTCATCGGTCCACTGATTGGTTATATATATATATATAGTAAGTAAAATAGTGCGGAGTCTTAAGACCCTGTTACACTTGGCGAGTACTCACTAGGGCCATTCACTTAGTGTAAAATCCCACTCGCTAGGGTCACTCGCTTGGTTTAACACCTCACTCGCTAGCACTAGCTACGAGTTTGAAAGATTTCAAACTTCAGGCGAGTACTTGCTAGTAAAGGGTGTTACACTAAGCGAGTGGTAGCGAGTGGGATTTTACACTAAGTGAATGGCCCTAGCGAGTACTCGCCAAGTGTAACAGGGCCTTTAATCTCCCATTTGCTTCTTCTAGTAACCCCCTCCTTGAGCATCGACGAAAGATGAGGAATTGGGATGGGTATTTGCTTAATGCGAGTTTGCTCCTACTCCATCTCCCCCTCCTTCACACTAAGTTTCGTCTGCAGACTATCTCCCAATCCATGGGGATAGAAAGGATCAGCCCCCCCCCCCCCGACATTTGCTTCAGGCACAACATGAAGTCCCAATCCATGGGGATAGAAAGGATCAGCCCCCCCCCCCCCCCGACATTTGCTTCAGGCACAACATGAAGAGTGTTGGTGCCTGAGGGGTGAGGGCCGCAAGCAATCAAGCATGATTTTATGTCTTGCCCAGGGGCGTCATACAAGTTAATTACTTTTGAACAACACCGCAAAAAAGTAATGGTGTGGTCCGTTACATCTGTTCAAGGATCCACACGACTTAACATTGTCTACGGTACTATGAACTGGGCGAAGAATCAGAATGTTTTGAGAGAACTGCTGATCACCCCTCAGAACGGATGATTTCTACCTGGAGACGGTGTGTTCGTCCAAGACAGGGTATTGCCGCATTGCCCGGCGTGTTAAAAAGTCCTTGCTATCGGAGATCTCCATATTTTCATGGCCTGGAAATTCTCCAGATTAGAATCCTCTAGAGTGGTCTTTCCCAAACGTAATTGAATCGCGATTCACCTATCAACCTTCAAAAATTTGTTCGACCTACCGCCATTCAAAACGATGTTATTTTCAAGAAATTGTATTGTACAAAAATGTCCGACTCTTCCGCAGTAATTAAGTAGCAAGTATCAAGCAGTGGTGCAACCAGATTTGAGTTTTGGGGTAAGTTTGTCCACCGCAATAAGATGGGAAATTATAGGGACTGCGAGTAAAGGGAAGGGGGATGCTGAGCAGAATCTTTACTGGTTCCGGAAAAATGTCTGCTGCAGTCTTGACGACCTAGGGAGACATGTGGGCTTGCTGGTCTTGGCTGAGAATGTTCTTTAGCGGCTGAATCTTTCTCGATATAAAATTTTTTTTTCCCGTGGGAGAATTCTTGCGACCCACTTTGAAGCCACTTGCAACCCTCAAGTGGGCAGCGAACCACAGTTTGGGGGCCCCTG